AGAGAGAGAGAGACAGAGACAAGAAGATGGAAAGAGGTGATGGATGATGGAAAAGTATGAGTTAGTGAATTAGTAAATGGATGTACAGTATTTGCAAAGTTTAAAAGAATGACTTGAAAAGAGGCAGGTATGTACAGACAGACAGATAAAGACTCACAGACACACACACACACAGACCCACCTTGCTATCCTCCCCATCCTGCCAGGATGTTCTAGAAGCTGTAAAACAGTCAGATGTTACAGGATGTCACAGTTAATGTGCTGGATCATCTGCCTCTCAGCTCCAATGTGCTGCACTATTAACTCTACAGTAAATCACCCCGGACCATGACATCATCAGTTGCAGACGGCACCTACATGGAGCTCTACTGTACGTGCACTGTGTAACTGTACAGTCAAACAGGGCCAACATTTGTATCAACATTGTACTTTCAGGGCTGCAGTGACGTTTTTAGGGCCTGACCCATTGTTCAACAGGAAGCGATTCTGACGATACGTCCTGGATTATGATGAAATTAGATCAGGATTCAATGGTCCCATGAGGAGGATTGCAAATGATTTGAACTCCTGGCCTTGGTCAGAACTTCCCCTTGACAAATATGTTGGTCCATGATACTTTGTTTTAATAACTTATATTTCCATGAAATCTGCTTAATAATCATTGTTCCCCATGGTCTTTGTGACATCCTGTCCATTACTTTAGCGCCACCATTAGCCCAAAATGTCCACTTGTACTTAAGATATATCTCACTTAAATTTGCAAGATTGTGATGAATTGATGATTGTATTCGCCATGCGTCGCCAGGGATGAACTCTGATCCATTCGATATGGCGACCTCACTGGGTTCACTTCCTACACAAAGGCTATCTACTTTTCTAACTTTATTAACTATTGATGTTGTTTTGGTAAAATAAGTGTTAGATAGCTCTACACTCCGACAGCCATCACTGTCAGCCAACAGTGTTCAGTGTTCAGAGATCAAGATGGCGCCGGTGAGGTCAGCAGCAGTCGTACCTGCTCGGGACACTTTTCCTCTACTTATTGTGTGTTTTGACTTTAAAATAAAAAGGAGAAAATGATTTTTGTCGAGTAAGCATGTTCTCCCTGTCCTCCGTTGTGCAGTAACAGGGAATTAATGTTCATCTGGTCTCGCGTGTTCCACTTTATCAAATCAGGGAGGAATTCACAAGAAGAGGCGGTCCTCAAGGGCACTATTTCAGTATGGTGATTTGGGGTAGAGGAAAGGGACTGCTACAATGGACAGGGGGTTAGCCAAAATGCTGATTTTATTTCCAACACCTTTTAATTTGTTCTTTCTTACAGGGTTGTCAAAGAAGAAGATATATTCTATGGATCTCTGTCTGAAATCAAAACAAAACTGCATTCACCTAGGAGACTCATTACAATTGCTCATGGCCTGTGTGTTAGCGGCAGGCTAGAAGCTATGTTTCGGTATAGTGGTGAATCCATACCTTCAGAATATTGTACGTTCCTGATCTCATTAAATTTGTCTTTGTCCTCCAAGTACAATGTTTTTTATTCAGTTTGTGATGCTGGCATTGGTGTTGCTTTTCACGACAAAAAACTAGTGTACCTTAATGTCTTAACATTAACAGTACTGTATGTTCAAATATCAACTATTGTTTGACTTTATGTGAATGTGTGTCCATGAAAGTAATTGGACATTGTGTGCACAAATGACTAATTACCTTTCCTTTCTTTTAGGACAATGTTTAACACACATGATCACCTAGCATACTGTTTGTTAAAGCAGCATGTACGCTGGACAG